CTGCTGAAGGTAAGTGGCTCTGTGATTGGGTGAGCACCCATCACTGCTTAGAGAGAAGAAAATTTATAATTTTTTTTCATCTCTCGAACTTGCATTATTTTTAATGGAGCTAGATATGAACGGTGTGTGCTCGTTCTCTGTAGAATAGTGTAACAATTTTAAGAAGGCCATCATAAGGCATGGTATTTAGCTCATTTTTCTTGGCTTTCTTCACGTTTCATGAATAAAGAAAGTGCTACGCACAGGGCAGAGTGCAGCTGGAGCTTTTTGGAGCTATAGTGGTGGTATATCATCAAAAGGTTCACCACAGGCTGTCTATATGTTCCCCGCAGGATGTAGTTTAAAGCACCCCTGCTTTAAAGACTACATGTGAAATAGTAGAGGCCCTGTGTGCTAGCACAATGTCAGCTCACGTTAAGAACACGAGATGTCGAAATTGCTGAAGCCCTTCACTACGGTTTCTCTCATAATCATATCGTGATTTTGGGATGTAAAAACCCCAGATACTATTATATTGGAGTACAATTTTTCAAAGCGTCTAAAATAAGTGTGCATTGAAGTTCAACGTAAGTACGAGAGGCTCGGAGAAAGGTGAAAATATTGTTTTTGTAGCTTCCAATTTTGAATGTCTTAGTACGTAAAATGTAGGTGAAATTGTACTTGATGTTATACTTAAGTTGAGGTGTAATTGCCTATTTCTCACGGTTGTGTAATATTTGAACATCCCCAATTATGACAAGAATATTTTTACTATTAGATTTTGATCCACAAACCAATTAGTAATTTAGAGCCTGAATAATCTTGCAATAGCCTTTAAAATACTTTTTCATCTCTCATACATCATAAAAAATGAAATCAAAACAGGAGGGCAATAAAGCTTCATCCCACAGTGTACATAACTGGGGGAGCATACTGTGTCACTCAGGGAGCTACACTAATCGATCTGAAATGTTGGTTAATTTTCATTTGGCCAATGGGTATTATTGTTTTAAATAATATTTTTTATTTGTAGGCTTTGCTTTTTTATCATAATAAATATAAAAATACTTTATTGCAACATACTCTGTGCAGTGTGGCATCATCTGCTAGTACTATTTGAATTAAAAATTACGCTTGATTAGTATTACTGTGGCATCTCATTGATGCGATTCTGCATAATACGGTCTTGGGCCTAATATGTTTGAACTTTAGGTATAAGTTTCCAAATAACCAAAAATGACACCATAATAACAGCAATCACGTATTCAAGATCCTGAACATAAATTGTTGTAGCATTGTTAATAAAGCTGTAGAACTTGAGGGCATGCTGTTTTCGCATGACGCGGACATTGCCATGCTCACAGTGACCTGGCTGAGCTGCAAAATATTTGATAGCGTCCTTCAGGGATATAAGGTCTTTCATGGCGACCATGACAGAATAGGTGGAGGTGTGGCTATTTTGTTTAAATCGTCAATACAACTCTTTAGAATGCGTGATGCACAATGCATTGATTTTGTCTTCTGTAAAGCATACATTAACAAAGTTCGCTTTGTGGCGTTTCTTTTAGGCCTCCTAACTTCTCTGTGGCGGTCCTTGAAAACTTCTGGAAATACTTAAAGTGTCATGTAAGGACAGACGATCACTTAATATTGGCAGGGCACTTCAATTTACTAGCGTTGATTGGCAGAGCTGCTCATCGCATTCGTCGAATGCTGATGGCAACACAATGTTGGACGTCACACTAACATTTTACTTGTTGCAAATGGTTGATAACCCCACGAGAGTGGAGGGAATTGCAGGGTCAATTTCGGACGTATTTTTTGTAAGTGGTGACATTCAAAGTCACATAACCTGTGAAGCCACTAATGGCATTTCTGATCATAAAGCGGTCGTGTTGTGTTTTTTGAACATTCGCTTTTACTGCCAGAACACCATACATTCATTTCCGAATTTTCCTCGTGCTGATGATGAATTATTATAGATATGCTCGATTTCTACTTAAGTTATTTCAAAAACAGTACTTGTTCTGTGAATAACTTATGACTTTCCTTTAAAAATATTGTCTTTGAATGAACACAGCGCTTTGTGCCCAATATTGTGAAAAAATCAGTATAACGTAATTCATGGACTTCCAGCGAGGTGTTGCAACTGCAAGGAAGGCTCAAAAGGGAAAAAAAAATCAATAACAAGTATAGCGTTAAAACCTCCATTGAAGAAACTTCCGTAAAAGTAAAGACAAAAACAATTTTTGACAAGGAAAAATGTTTTGGTACACTATTGCCTCCATTAATTGAAACGGCTTCTTAGAGATTCCAGTGCCAAATAACCCCTAAATCTTCTGCCACTAGTAAGCTGATGATAGGTGGCGAGTGTGTCAAAGAAAAAAAAGAGAGCGTCAGCAGTTCTGCTTTTAACAATTTTTTTCTAGTCGGTATTCACAAGGGACAATGGTTTCATTCCCAATTTTTCTGTATCGCTTCCTTGAATATCTGATGTTATTTCCGAGAGTGGTGTATGTAATTTACTCTTAAACCTTGATGGCATTCCAAACGTGTTTTTGAACTGATATGCGGAATGGTGTGCTAAATACTTGTATGTTCTGTTCACCAGATTGTTAAGTGATGGTTCTTTACAGGATGACTGAAGGACAGCTGAAATAGAACCTCTGCACAAGTCAGGCAAAAAATTATACATTGAGAACTACCGACCCATATCACTAACTTCTACTTTGTGTCAAATTTTGGAACACATAATTCGTAAACATGTATTAAGTTTCTGAACATGATTGTAGGTGTGGATTTTCTACATGTACTCAATTAGTTGAAATTGTGCATAACTTCCCACTGTCGATTAATGAAGCAAAGCAAACATATTCATAGATTTTTGCTAGGAATTTGACAAGGTGTCGCATAATAAATTAATTCATAAATTAAGTTATTGTATAAAAAAGTGACCAGATACTTACTTTGATTACGGCCTACTTATCTGACGGACGCCAATTCATGGCCTTAAACAATGCTTCTTCTGAATATTTTGAGGTTGTTTCGGGTGTCCCCCAGGGATCAGTTTTAACACCACTTTTATTTTTATTATTTATTAATTACATTGCAGCAAAACTTTCTGTTTGTGTGAAACTTTATGCAATGACTATATATTATATATAAAAGTATGAAGTGCATCTAAATAATGATCTGACAGATGTCATTGCATGGTACGAAAAATGGCAAATGGTAATTAATTTTGATAAAACTGTTTACATGAGAATTACTAACAAAAAAATACCTCTTCATTATGCATATGGTGTGAATAGTGTATCACTATTAGAAGTGACTGAGTACAAATATTAGGTCCTGGAGATCAGTAATAATTTTTCTTGCAATAAGCACATAGGTACTGTTGTTTGTAGTTCCTTGCAGAAACTGTTTTTCTTGAGACGCACATTGAAGTCATCTACACCTACTGTTCGTTTCTTTACATACAATTCATACATTCGACGATTGTTGTAATGTGCAGCGATTATCTGGGACCCATTCACTTTAAAGAAAGTAAAAAAACTTGAACGTCTACAGCTAGTCCGGTTTATTTTCAAATACTACGGCCACACATCTATATGTGAGTGCGCTAATTAAGTGCAGTGGACTACCCACGGTGATGGAGCGCAACCGTGTCAGCTGATTAAAATTTTTATTTCACCTTGTCAATGGTCATTACAACGTCGACACTTCAAATTATTTTTTTACTTGCCAGGTAATCAAACAAGGCAAATACATGCTCTAACCATAGTTCTCTTTACCATAAGGAATAACTGTTTTAAGTATTCCTTTTTCCGTAGGACTATAACGGACTGGTATAATCTTAATACCAAAATTGTTTCTCAAAAATCTTTAGCAATGCCTGAAAAACATCTGAATATGTTATGAATTTGTTGTGTTATTTTATTTGTTCCTTTCAGTGTTTTCTTACAAATGCCTGTAATTTGTATGTTCTAAATTGTTTGTACTTTTTGGTGTATAACCACCCTGCTAAGATTTGGTACCAGATCGCAGTATCTATAACAAAAAAATAAGAAGAAATTTTGTTCCTGGCCAACCTCTTTGGTTAATACGATTCTAGCATCATACATCTATTTTCTGGTTCTCGTGAAAAGCATATCAACAAGATTCCACTGTATTCATTTTTTTAGCCAGCGATTGCTACAGATATCACGCATCTCATTTTTTTTTAAGTTACACACGTGGCCAGTATGGCTCCCTTTCATTTTTTACCAGGTACTCTAGGACCTGAATTTTCAAGTTGTTGCTGCCCCGCCGCGGTGGTCTAGTGGCTAAGGTACTCGGCTGCTGACCCGCAGGTCGCGGGTTCGTATCCCGGCTGCGGCGGCTGCATTTCCGATGGAGGCGGAAATGTTGTAGGCCCGTGTGGTCACATTTGTTGTTGCTCCTCCTGATTCTTGTGTCCTGTGCTTTCAATAAATTATGATTCATATAATGTATGAACCCTTCATGAATTGTTTAAAGACTATTTAACATTAAATTTGGTCTTAAAAGGCACTCTATGCATACCCATACCTATTTTTGTATAAATTAGTTCTCGAGGCAAATGACTCGGTGTGTTACTGAAATTTTCTTTCTTTCTCTAAGGTAAGTGGTCCACGTCTTAAAGACTTGCTAGAACAAACATCTTGGAAGGGGCAAAGGTCATCTTTTATATTTTCTGCAAGAAAATTGTAAATGAGCCAGCCATGTCTTCTATAGTGAGTAATGTAACCTGTCATATTGCCTTAGTGAACTTGGATTTAGCTACCTGTGTTTGCATAGGTAGCTAAATTTGAGTTGGTGAAGTGCAGTTTTGTGCTAATAATATGTTTATCTTTCTTTGTGGATAGCATACACTGAAACATCATGGTGACGGTTGCTTTTGCAGAGCCATATATACTTGGTGACATCTTCAGCTTTAACTGTGGCCTGTTTGTTGAAATAATGTCAAACTGTGATCATCTTGCACAATTTGTTGCAGAAACTGACTAGGGCCATTGGAGACCTGCCAGGAGGCACAAATGACTCAGTTTTGTCACCTGCAGCATCACATAATGAGCTCAACTCACAGGAAGTTAAGGATAACCTACTGCTCCTGCACCTCGTTGAAAACTTTGCTGATTTACTGTCTGAAACACTTTTAGAAAATAACCCTTCTCTCCTAGAATTTGTTGTGGTAAGTATGTTGCCTAATATGCGCAATTACGCAAAAGATAATAAAGGTTTCTATTTCTTGCTGTGCTCTATTAGGAAACGTTAAATCGAGTTACCCTCCTATCAAAGAGTACTGAAATGGACAGTTTGGTCTTGCAATCAACCATATTTTGCCTTACACTTCTGAGCCTCCTGATCTCTACAGAAGACACGGTACGTTCCTGTTTTCTTTGTATATATGCGATTGGCAGGTACTGAATAGCCATATGTGCTTTCAGCTCAAGGAAAATATTTGTTGAGGATTGGCATACCCAAGGTGCTCACTGAGAAGGATTCTGTAGTGAAATTGTGTATGTAATTTAATGAGAGCAGGGAAAGTAGACGGGTATAGAGGGAAAATTGCAAATATGGAAAACTTATATTTATTTGTACACAACCAACCTCTTTTATTCTGTTGACTCACATTCAACAAGGTTGAAAAGTTTGACTGTACACCTACACATATATAACACTTTGCAGTACAAAACTATTACCCACTTTCTAATCGTTCTCCTGCAAAATACCACACAGAAAAAAAAACAAATAGGATATTCATTTATTTATTTTTTTGTAGAAGTTTCTTTATCAATATTGAGCACCATGTGGACGTTCGCAGAATATTCTCCTGGCTGCAATTTGTGTGGCGGCAAGTTTCTATGGTTGCAAGCTGGTATAACCATATATGTACATAGCATATAGCATCACGGGTACAGCTGAAGCTAAAGTGCAAGTTATTACTAAAGTATTTTAGAAAATGGTAAAAAAAGTAGAAAAGAGTAAATTTAGAAAATGGGATGAAGTTTTATTACATATATGCATATTAGGAGCATATCTAACAGAAGGATTACTCTCAACTATTGTATTGACTGTTAAATGTTTTTCCCTCTCAAGGCTGCAGGAGGAAATAACGAAGTGTGGCAACAGTGTTACAAGTGCCTCGCGTCCTTGGCAGGCAGCCACAGCAGCACTGAAATAAGGAAATTAGCACACCAATTGCAGGTGTCGGTAGCAAGTCAAGGGATGGCAGCACCACCACAGAAGTTGAGTGCCACAAGTAATGCCGGCTGTTTTGCACGACGGGTGGCAGACGACAAGCAAGCCAGAGCTGAACGTCAAAAGAAGTTGACTACTATTGCTGCTGGTTTTAACATTCTGTCTATTGATGATAGCCTTGGCTGTGAAGCAGAGACTGCTATACCCTCTCGACAGCGACTTGGAGAGTAAACTGCTGGGGTGGCGGCACAATCATCGGGTGTCCCATCAGCTACTGGAAGCACGGAATTTGAGCAGTTATGGTGCGAGCTGCACGATGGAATGACACCCATTCGTGGCCATGCATTCATACAATTGCGCCGGAGGCTTCTGCAGAATAGTGCCGAACTATGGCAGCAGCGAGACAAGTTGCTTGAAGCTTGCCATGGTGGCATTCAAGATGAAGATTCTTGTGTGTATCTCGGTGCCATTCAAGCTTTGTCTGTTCTTGTTGAAAAAGACCTGGATCATCTACTTCCATGGCTAGCAGAACAGCTGTCCTTGGAGCAGCTCTCCGTGGAGGCGCGCCTCAACTTGGGAGAGGTCCTTTTGCGGGTCACTAAAAACATTGGTGAGTGCTCACACTGCATGCTTTCAATTTGTACATGGCAGTCTATCTTTTCTCATGTCGTAGTTAAATAGTTAAATAAGTCTGCTACTCCTGAATGATTTAATTGCAAGGTTAGCCATTTTGCAAAGCAAAAGAACACATATTTGCACATTCAATTCATTTTATTACCTTAAAGGCACCTAATAAAAAGGCACAACATAAGGAATTGATTAGCGACATCTAAAGTTTGACTTTAGATGTCGCTAATCCATTGACTGACACTCACCTGGTTGGGATCAGACATGATGAAAGAAAGGATGATTGAATGTCGAATCTTGGAAATACCATCTACCAGGCACACACTTGATTTCAGTGATAGAAACCTTCCATTGTCTTATGCACGACGCTTGCCTCACTTGCTGAAATCTATATATGAGACACTTCTTCACAATGAGATTGGACTCATTGTCTATAAGGGTTCTCTACGAAAGCCAAAACATTTTTCAAAACCTTTCATTTGGTCAATGTACTTTTTTCTTTCATGATATACGGTAGTGGTATTTACGTGCAATTCATTTATAATTGTGTTGAATAGGGACTATAAGTATTTCGAGATGCAAACAGGCTGTACGTGTAATATAGACAACTGTTAAACAAGTGAAGCAAATGGAGGAAACATATTTTCATACTTTTGAATGCAATTCTCCAGCAGATCCATAAATATTTTCTGAAGTTTTCATAAACAGCAATCTTGTTATTTTTTTGTTGACACACATTTATATTACAATAATCCAATGACATATGGTAAATGTAAAACTCTTACATGTTAGAGAGAAGTGAGTTAACAAAAATCAGATTTCTAGAAGGAGCAATAAAACTGTCGTGAATAGTACTGTCAAATATGAAGTGAGCCGGGGAAAATAGAAAATTGACATGGTGGTATTGAGCGAATAGGGATGGCTCATAAGAGAGCTCAGCTTACAGGTTATGCATGCGAGCTTAATGTCATCTATTGGTGGACTAAGACACATGGCAACCTTTCTGGCATTATGGTATAACAAGAGTAATGTCTGGGGAGACGGAAATGCACTCCCGGGAAGGTTAAATTCATAGGAAGTGGAGTCATTGCTGAGGCTGGTGACTGTGACAGGATCCGTCATAGGCACTGTGTTTCACCATACTTAGTCATTATTTTTTTATGTTTGTTCATGTTTGTTTAAAGTTCTCTTGAAATTTTATGGTTTCAGCGGAACTCCTTGTTTGACCAAGTGGAATAGAAGCGATTTAAGAATGACTTTGGAATTTTTTTAATACTTTGAAATAGCAGAGACTATTAGAAGCCCACTCATGGTCAATATAAGTACTTCAAAGAACTGTTTTTTTTTTTTTTTTTGAGCAGAGATAGAAGTTGTAGGGGAGGCTTGCATTTTTGTTTCTCTTTATAACTACAGTAAATTGTTCTCTGTTGCTGCCTACTCTTGTTAAGTAAAGTTGTACTGGCTTCTACATTTTAACATTTTTTTATGATCAGCAAATAGAGTAATGTAGCCCTGTAGGTATAGCGTTACGATATATGTGGGGATGGTGCTGTTGTGCATTTATTTAACCTATCTGAAACTTGTTCTTGCGATATGGAATAAGTTTCGCTCATGTACTATTTTTAAACATAAAATTTTCTGCTCCCATTAATATAGTGCCCATGGGGTAGATTCTCAATAAACAGAACCTGAAGGAACCATGAAAATACTTTCCATTCAGCAGTAGTTCTCTTTACTGGGAGGTGAACAAGAGGCCGGAATTTCAGTACAAAAGCGTACAAAAATAAAGACAATTGTTATATTATAAGAGCAGTCGTATCAGAGGCAGTTCTTTCATTTTAAGTACCAGTCCCATTTAAGAGATTCACAATTACTCAGAGTCTACTGTATTGGAGAACTTACAGACATGCTTTATTTCTGTTGTGCTTTTTTCACATCAGAATGTATTTGCATTTTATTTCTAGGTGACATCGCTCCAAAGTACAGGAACTTGCTCCTTAATAGCTTTTTGTGTGCTGCAAAGCACTCTGACCAAGTCATCAGATGTTCAGCAGTATCTAGTTTGGGTGAATTGTGTGGGAAACTTGGTTACTCATTTGTGCCAATCACACAGGAGGTAAGGGCTCTTTGTGCATAGCACTTTCCTTTTACATTCCTTTAAAAAAATGATTAGTTTTAAGTACTTAAACATCCCTCTTTCCTCTTCTGCCAGATCCTTAATTGTCTTCGTGGCCTCACCAGGGATCCTGATGCCATGGTTTGCCATGCTTCTGTCTTGGCTCTAGGGCGTATCATCGAAAGAATGAGTCAAAAGATATTTCAAGTGAGTATTCATATTAAGTGATATACTGTACTATTACTCACAGCAGTGTTTGTGTTCTGCTTCAGCTGGGCTGCTGAAATCGACAGAGATCTGAAAGGAAAATGAACTAGTCATTTGGTTCCTGCATAAAGTTGCATACAGGGTCTGTAAAAGTTCTCAGAATTTTCCCCAGTAGTTGGCAACACCGCCTGGCTGAATGGTGCTTTGGCCAGAGAAGATAGCGTATAATACAAGCTTAAAAGCGAGTCTGGTTTCAACTGCATGTGGGCTGTTCACGCCGGTAACACTTTTCACAGAGGTATCTACTGCCACCTTATTTTAAAAAAATTACTAGTTTTTGGAGCAGCATTATGCAATCAAGTTTTCTTTAGTGAAACTGAGTAAAAATGGGACAGACACTTGAAATGCTTCAGAAATCCTACGGTGACAATGCTATGAAACAAAGCCAAACTTTCATACGGAACAAGAGATTCTGGAAATGTCTGGAGTTGGTCAACGATGACGTCCACTCAGGGCACCCATCGAAATCATAAATGGACGGCTCGGTGCAAAAGGTGGATCAAGTTTTGGACAAGAACTGGTGGTTAATTGTTTGGACGATCGCAGAGGAGTGTTAAATAATTGAAGCACCTATTCATCATGTTTTGACGGAGGATCTTTAAAGGAGGAAAGTCTGCACTAAAATGGTTCTAGAAGTCCTGATGAGTGACACGAAAGAAAAGCCACACCGTGCTTATTGTCTTCTAATTGCCGTGGGCCAAGATGGGCGTGGCAACACTGCACCAGCCAATGAACTGCCTTAATCTGACACTACTTGATTTTCTTTTTTTGCCAGTGATCAAAAGTGCCCTGACGGGAATTAGGCAGGGGATGCTGGGGATAGTAAAGGCATCTGCGACAACCTCGCTGAAAGAGGTTCCCTTTGACGGATTCCAGGGTGTCTTCAGTGATTGGATAAAGCATCGGCAATGGTGCATCAAAGTAGGGGAAGAGTACTTACGGAAGTTCTCAAAAGATTGTAAACTGATTGTGAATAAATTATGACAAAAAATTTCTGGGAACTTTTAAGACAGACTTCAAGTATGATATACCTTTTTTACTGCAATCTCAAGGGTTTCATTTTGTAAAGGAAAATACGGCATTGTGTGAATGGGTTGGTGCCTCAGCAGACGACAATGTTTCACTTCACTCGGTACCAAAGTTGCTGCTTGACATATGGAGCACTGTGCACGGTCTGCAAACATTTCATAAACACTGCTTGCCATTCGCCGTCCTGAATTTCTTCCGGAAGCAACAAGGCATGAGTGCTGCAGAAGAGTTTTTTGCCAATGACACATCCATCTCTTCTAATCGCTGTGTGGAATTTTCATTTACCAAGAATGAGTGTGAGGGGATTCTTGTCCTTTTCCGTCATCTGCCATATTGTGCCTTGGGCAACTTGGATGAGTGGGTGTACAGAGAACTGTTACATCTTCCCCACATATCCTGTGAAGATGGCCTGAAGAATAGAAGATAAGTCACATGGTCTCACTCGTCAGGCATGGCAGATTTTTGTACTATCGACAGCAAAAACTTGCTGAACGTTGAATCCACAGTAAATGCGAATTTCTGCTAAATCAGTACTTAATGCTTGTAATAAAGCTGGTGACTGTATAGGTCAATATGCCAAGTGCAGTATAGAACATTTATTGTGAAATTACCGTACATTTCTAGACAAAGCGGGAATTCAGCTCGATCAAGCATTTTGCGTCCCGCACACTTTTGCTCTTGATAGTAATAGATGACATTTGTCTAATCTTTGAATGTGTAATGTTCTCAATTATGTAAAAGACTTCAAAATGCTCTTCAACAACAGTGCATGCTTGCATCCATGTCATTGGACGTTCTTCAATGAAATTGATGCTGATATTGTTCACTAGCAGACCACTGACATATTATACAGTTTATATCTATGGATAAAATGTTTCTTGTGCTATTAACACCCTTTTTTGGTAATAACCCTTGATAAAGACCCTGATGGAGCCTTCAGATTCAAACAGTTTATATGCCAATTTAATAGATGTTCATAGTTTATGTGCAGAAAAAATAAGGAGCTACAAGCACATGCAGTGTTGCATTTGTAATGGACATTTGTGCTATACATTTTTAAGGTATAGTGAAAGCTCACAAATTTAAACTCGAAGAGGACTATAAAATTGTTCAAATTAGTGAACGGGCACTAGAATGAACAGACTTCATGTCGCACTGGGCGGACAGAAGGCAGAGAAGCCACATCTGGTCTGATTCCCACAAATTAGGTGATACTACACATTTGTGGCAGATAATTTCATAAATTAAGTTCTTGCTCTAACAGCGAACATAATTTATTGATCACTCAATCATATGCCAGAAACATGCAGCAACTTACATTCTTGTGAACAGTGAGCCTTAATGTCAAAATATACGAAGTTATTTGTGCTCCAAAACACGTTCACTTACATGGCACATTGAAGTAGTATTCAAAATTTAAAATATTTCTGCCTTGACTTGTTTATAGAACTATATTGAAATAGTCTTAGGAGACATGGCAGAAATCCTGCAGAATCTTCAGGCATTACAAGCTACTCTGAGTTACTGGCTACTTCTGAGTTATTCTCGGTGATTTGACAAGCTGCAAACTATATATTAGGTTCGTTCACTCTGCACAATCTAATACACATATGTATTGCCCTGGAAGTGCTGAAAGTACATGTGTGGCACTTTGCCTAAGCCTGTTCACATTGACCTCCTTCACTGCCTTCAGAAAGACTACGACATATTTTAAGTACTATTTTTTATTGTTTCATGAGCCTTTCATCAGATTGTAAAACATCAGGAAATGTTACACAGAGCTCTAATTTGTGTGACGTCTCAATTGCATCTTACAGGTAATCCCCAATGAAGTGAAAGACATCTATCGAGATCTGAAGCATTTGTACTCAACTACGTCCGACAGTGTGACAAAATTACAAGCGCAGTTGGCTATTGAAAACCTCAATGCTGCAACAGAGAAATTTTTACGCTCCCAACCTCATATGGAAAAGCGTATTCAAATACTGGATTTGTGCAACCCCAGTGGAAGCTGATTAGTTATGTGCCTTTAATTAAATTATTTAAGTGTCAATAAACTGCTTGGAAAGAAAACCTTTGCATCATTGTTATAATCTCTTCAGCAGTGGTGGCTACATATGTGTACGTGTTTTGTTTATGCTAGTTGTGTCAGCCTGTGGCTAATATATAACCAGATACAATGCCTATTAGATGATTTGAACCTTCTGCAGCGTCAGTATGTTGTCACTTAACCTCAGTTACCCATCAGTTTGATGAGGGCACTATGATGTTCGACGGGTCATTCATGTCACATTCCAGGAACGAGGTCAAAAGTATTATCTCGAAATGAATGCAACCAAAAACTAGTGTGCACACATTTGGAGCTTATGCTTTCGTTTTTTAATATTAAAATGGAACATGTCTGACTGCAGAATAATGAAATATTCAGTTACATGCTAATTATTGCAATTAATAACTAAGGCTCACACAATACAAGACATTACTTTATTTTCTTCTTGGAATCTAATATTGAGTGCCTTAGAATTATAGCATGAGAATTCTACACATTCATGGGTAGTGCATCATAATGCATGCCTGAAGGGGATATAGATAAGAAGTTATATTGAAATAGTCTTTTGGATTCAGAGTGTGTCATCATATACTAATTATAATGATCAAAATTTTCTCAGTGTTAATATAGTGTAGTAATATCATTCTTGTCTATTTTGCTGACCTTTGTCTTGAATGCTGCAGAAAAAAGGATTCTGTGACTAGAGGAAATGAGCCGGAAGCATTTCCGGGCTTTTTGAGAATCGAGGTTGAAGCATGAGAATTCATAGAATGGGCCAGAGCACCACGGGACTGAAATTTCAACTTGCCTGTAGAAAATTGCTGAAGCATTGCTAATATAATGTCTTTTGCTGCTGTATTGCACATCATGAGCAAGGAAGGCACCGAATGCTTGCTTTGTAACTGTGATAAAAAAGTGTTAGTAGCAAATAAGATGGAAGTGCTGATAGTGAAATGATGAGCGTGAAAATCAATGATTCTGGTGCACAAAAAGGGAACATATGCATCAAGAAAATGCCGTAAAGTCAAATGGCTCACGTGGGCCCATTGTATTGGGAGGCACCTGGTGACTATGTGTGACACTCATTTCGGATGACAGTGTTGCATTTATCAACGAAACGCACCATCTTCACCTGTGTCCGAGCAAGCTACAGTGTAGAGTTTTCCTTAGGCTCAGAAGAGAACTCGATGTGCACTGTAAGGTAGCACTTGCTCCCACAGATGGCATGAGTTCAGGCAGAAATTCCACACAAAAGCGCATTTGTCAGGCATCTCTTCAACGGTGGTAGTTCGAGACCATTTATTCACCGTCCGCTGCAGTGTTCTAGTGGTTATGGTGCTCGGCTGCTGGACCAAAGGTCGCGGGTTTGATTCTGACCACAGCGGTCACATTTCGATGCAGACAAAATGACAAAGGTCCGTGTACTGTACGATGTCAGCGCACATTAAAGAACGCCAGATGGTGAAACTTGCTGGAGCCCTCCGCTACAGCGTCTCTCATAAGCATATTGTGGTTTTGGAACGTTAAACCTGAGATATTATTATTATTGTTATTATATTTATTCACCACAGTCTATCCAAAACACTGTAGTTAAAGGTGCTTGAAGAAGAAAAATTTCAAATTTTTGCCTTCAGCTACATGTTAGCTACAACATGCTCTGAGATGTCTCGTGTTAAGCTGCGGGTCTGAAGCCACTATGACGGAAAAAGATTATGAGTGGAAGCTCTGTAAGCTCACTGCATTTGTACAGATACCATGGCTACTCCTTCGAAGTCAGTTTTGTGTAGATACCATAGATAGTCTTTTGAAGTTACTTCGGCTTTAACTTTGGAACTTTGACTTGCAAGTCGTAGACACTGTGCAGGGTGGTAAAAGCAAAAACATTGACCTTGTGATTGCGACTGATCATTATTAGGAGATAGTGTCCAGATCCACTAAGTGCCTGATCTCCAAACTGATGACAAAAGAGATTGTATTCAAATGGACAGTCCAGGGCCAGGTCATTATAATAAAGTCAACAGGAGTCTGTTCCTTCATAGCAAGTAAAAGTGAGCAAAAAAAATCGCAGCATATCTACGGAGTGAATGATGATGAGTGGGACGAAGCGTCCATCAGCCCGTTCGTGCTTCCGTCCATCTATTTGTTTTTGCTTCCGTTCGTCCGCACGATCATCCGAGCGTCCATCCATGCATCCGTCTGTCTGTCCGTAAGTTCGTGCTTCCGTACATTTGTCCGTCCGTCTTCTTTTCTGTCTGTCCGTTCATTCATGCATCCATCTAGTGAACACTCCAAGTACCGCCATCTCGCATCCTCTGTAGTACATACCCGCTCCGTGCGTCCGTCCGTCCATCCCTCCGTCTGCTAGTGCGTCTGTCCATTTACCCATGTGTCCGTCCGTGCATCCAGCTAGTGAACACTCCAAATACCGCGATCTCCCATCTCGCATCCCGGTGGCTACGTACGACAACAACGGAGGATGAACAGACCTACGTCCTAAGGAGCTTCGCCCCTAAAATGGTAAGGAAATATCAGCTCAGCCTGGGTCTTTCTGGGAGCTTGAGCACATATGCGTTAAGGGACATGAACTAGTACACCACCAAGACATTATCCTACAGCACTACAGAGAAACAGTCGAGTTTGAGCATGGTCGGTACACAGTGATGTTCCATTGGTTGGTGGGCTTGACGACAACTACAAGTGCACCGCGAAGCGATGTAGACCTTGAACTCTTGAAAAGAGATTCCTTCATCATGGAATACGATGCTTGCATCTGAGATCACCTTGAAAAGTGCTGCAGAGAGCCAGCCTGAAGACATATGTCACATCAAGCCGTTATTTAACGCACCATCAAGCGCAGAAAATTGCTTCTCACTGAGCAGTGTTTTAGAATGGAGAAGAACGAGCTCTGATGACCTACTAGATGTCTCAAAGTGAAAACCAAAGAGAAAGGGTTGCAGGATCCTTAAGCACATTGTTATAAAATAGAAACATGGAAGTGTTTCTTTTGGTTTAAGTTGGTGAAATGCTGTAGGGATGATGTTCCCTAGTCGCTTTATCATGGAAGAGGCAATGCAGGAATGTATTTATTTAGATTATTTGGTGCAACCAATGTGGTGTTGACAGCATCTTACACATAAAAGGAAAAGCCACTATTTCCTCCACCTCTCCATTGTTCAGCTTCTGTGGAGGCCCAACTTATTTGTGGAACAAGAGCATGCCCTTCATATTCGGAGTTGCTAATCTGCCCTGTAAATGTCAGTGTATAAAAACATCTGACACTTTGGGTGCTAAAAATCTTTGTCCAATTTTTTTGAATTTTCTGGTATGAAACAGCATTAATTGAAGTCCCCTCCTCTGCCATGTGGGTTCGAACCAGCACTTTTTGAGAGTCAATCTGTTTACAGCCGTAGCAGAGCCCTAAAGGCAGCTTTGCCGTCATATGAAATTATAATGCAGTGAAGCATATTTACTATATGAAGGGTTTATTGTAATGGCATGTTGGAACCAGCGCTTCCTTGAGTCAATACATTTGTTACCGTAGCAGAGTTTGAAAGGCTGCTTTGCCGCAATACGAGAGTTGTGGGTTGAAGCGTATTAATAAAATCTGAAGGGGCCATTGTCAATTGCACATTGACTTTGGGAAGTTCAAATACTTAAAATCTTCAAAATTTCAATGTGAATTGAATCAAATAGTAAACACTATTGGGAAAATATATGAAAGTTCGAGTATTCGCACATCCCTACTTAATACCCAGTGTACAGTAGATGCAAATCAATAAAGTGACAGATCATGAAGAAAAATGGCAAAAATTTACAGTTCTCTAGCACTTACAACAAAACAATCATTTGCTATTCACAACAGTGTCTAGAAATTAACCATATTGTAAGGATGTGTTGTGAGCATGCAGCATTGTCAACAGGTGCACAAATAAAGAAACTGTGTGAACCTCTCTCTAGCCCAAAACACATTATATTCTATAGAGCGCAGTGTCTAGAAAACTACTAAAACAGGATGTTTACCTAAGGATGATTGAAAAAATATTTTTATTTTTATCTTTTTATCCTTACCAGGGTGTAGTGCAATTTTTCTTGGGCCTTTGAGAATTGAGGTACTTTTCTGTGCCTCATCTCGCAGCACATGCGTTGATATGGTTATATGCGAGCTCTCCAGGAACCATCGCCCTAGTTCTTCTACTGTGTGGCAGGGAGCTATGAAACATGTATTTTGTAGACAGCTGTCTGTTAAATGGCAGAGACGTAACACCTTTTTTTGGGTTTCAACTATGAGAAACCGTCGACTAAAGAACGTTTCTTGAGTGAGCACAAGAAGGGAACTTGTTTTTGTAGTTACGGTAAGAAAGGACACTATTCTCATTTTAAAAAAAGAAAAGGAACACCTTTTGAAAGAGCACTATTTCTAGTTCATAGGAAGAACTTAAGAATTGTGAATGACAAAAATTTCTGGGTGAATAAGCACTGCCAAGGTATGGTGCAAGATATTTTTTCAGAACACTGGAACTATATGCCTGTGCTGAGTCTGAACGTCTGCTTCAAGAAAGGTCAAGAGGAGTGGGGCGAAAGTGTATGATAACAAATAACTAAATTCAGGATTACCAATGCCTTTCTATGGGTAGCAAACACATAAACAACCGTTCTAGAAAAATGGGTGCAAAGCAAGTAGCTGTCTGATGGGGACTTAAGTGTATCTAACATGCATAACCACAGGCCTCGTTTTGTAGTACTACTTATATGAATATAGCAGGCTACACTGCTGTATCAAAAAAAAAAATTTCTGCTTCAGTGTGTTTATTCTCGTTTCTTAAGTTATTAAATGGGGCCATGTTGAACGCACCCCTCGCATGGTCGTTTGGTCGCACTTCCATGTCCTGTGGGGACGGGCTGTGTACACAGCACAGACACGTAGGCCTCAGACACGGTATTTTCCCACCTACACCGTAAAATTCCAAGTAAGTGCCCCCCTCCCCTTTCTGGGAAATCTGAAAGAAGCTCCAATGACCGAGCAAGTGCCATCCTTCTTATTCCTTCTTCCTCCCCTGCAGCCACTTTTGCTTTTTTCAAGAATAGTATTGCTTTTATAAAAAGAACCACAAGAATGAGTGAACTAAATGCATATCTAAATATGGATGGGCATTTTTTATTCTAGGCAGCTCTCTTGCCATCATCGTAAGTTTCGGTCAGACATCGAGCAAGCGCTACCCACCTAAATCTAATATGATTGCCCTTCAACATAGAGGGGTGGAGAGGGGCTTACCTGGCATATTACAGTAATAAACATGTTTGCAGCAGACACCCTGCAAAAAGTTATTCGCAAGCAGATTGCTATCTCAGTGGCATTAGATTCAGTGAAACCCAGATTTAGCGAACTACAAAAAGATTGCGATGCATATTTTAATATACAATGTAACAAATCATTGGTAGGAATCAGATATCTATGTTCATTGTACAGTGCTGTATGCTTAAGAGCTAATGTTAGCGACTACTGCTTGACAGGGGGATAAATCTAGCATTGAAATGTACATCGTACATTATGAGCATATGTACCCATATGTGTGTAAGTATGTGTGTCCGTTGGTGTATCCTTTCCTTAGGCCCACTGACAGGCACAGTAGCAGCTTACTCAACTGAATTTTTTTTTTAATAAATTGTGTCAGAAAGTTTCCTTAATAAATCATCACATGAAGCAGGAGCATTTTCATTCATTCATAAATATACATGTATACGGCAACATAATGAACAGGAGGTTCTGCCAAGCTCAGGGGTTTGAGTACCCGGTAATTAAAAAAAGGAGGGCAGGGTAGAGAACAGCTTAGGTAAATGTAAATGGTATACACAATAAGACAAAGGTTGCTTCCAATGAGAAAAGCGAACTGACATACAGTACAGCATTTTAAAGAACAAATGACTTGAGATACATGAAAGCATAAAATGGCACTCAGGTAAAACATTGTAGACTTCAAAATAAATTACTATGATAGCTGCCTGCCCTAGAAGACAGCTTTACGTTGTGTGCAACTCAGCTGCAGAAAGTTTGTGTTGGGAACATAGAAGTGAATTTTTTATTCTAGAAGTTAGCTTTGCATGCAATTTATAATAGTGATTACAATTGTCCTTTGTTGAAAAGCAAGAGGATGTTCAGGCGAAGCAAAGTGCCGGTGGATATTGGCGCGGCTTATTTAGATAGCTAATGAATTGCAGAAACGTGATAACCTAAAAAAAACTTGACACATTTTTTTTAAGAGAACCTTGATGGGATGCGAAGCAGCAGCGTTGCGCACGGGGGGCGTCGCGGGTTGAACGGCTGCTGCGGTGAGCGCTGAAAGATTAGCTTGAAGCGATGGCTGGCGTAAGCCTTGTATGCGCCGGTTTTGTTTGACATCTGACTATGCGCCTGTTTTGATTGATATATGGTGCTTAACATCCCAAAACCACCATGTGATTATGAGAGATGCTCCGGTAATTTTGACCACCTGGGATTCTTTAACGTGCACCCAAATTTGAGCACTCGGGCCTACGGCATTTTCGCCCCCTTCGAAAATGCAGTCACCGCAGCCAGGATTTGATCCCGCGACCTGCGCATCTATGCGCCTGTTTTTCTCTGATTGGCTACAATCCAAGTGAGCTATGCTCGCGGTGTCCAATTCGTGGAGATGTCCTATTCGGCTCTTCCCTGAATGGCTGGAACTTGCGAGCAGCGCGCTGTCTGTTTTCGGCCTTTCTTTTGCAGCGTCATTTTAACGCTACGCAGGGACGCATCTTTCACAACTCTTGATACAAATGAGAAAGATGGAATGCGTTTCACCAAACTCAATGATTCGCTTTTAGATGCACATCTCTAAGACCGGGCAGGTATCACGTTAGCCTTACACGGTTGATCACCTAACGCCCCTGAACGGTCTATGCGCATTCCCTGCATCGCTCTTCAAAAATCTCAACACGTTCATACGCAAGTTCAGACTTGAGTTCTGGTACTTTTCATCATTTCGTCCACTATTTCGGCCAAGTGCAGCCATAAACCATAATGAAGGTAACCACAGGCTCACAGCTGCGGCACATGGTTTTTGCGGCCTCTGGTAGCCTCTGTCATTTCTCAGTCACTCTACTAATGTGCTTCTGCCTTCTACCCACATTATAGTGAGAAAAATGTGTTCTTAGTCGCTCTGTTGTGCACCGCACGATTATGGCAACATCGCGTCCTGCCTGCACGACCATCGGTAAACAAAAAAAGAAAAGCCTTTCAAAGTCGCATTGGTATGTAAAATTGCGCCATACGGCCCGCATTGCTATATTTCATTATGTATTCTGGATGCAGCGAAATCGTAACGCCATGGCGTAGCCTGCACACAGAACACCCACTTGCATGCCAAAATCTGCCAAAGCATCTACTCAGGCAACACTGTGTTCAGGCTGTGTAGGTTTCGTCAGTTTCGTTTTTATCGTGAGGACGATAGTTGGGTTACGTCAGTGGGTAACGTAGATGTTGGTGATGTTTGCCTGTGTTGAACTAAAATGATCAAGGAATCTTGATGGTCAGCATGAGTTGGTGTTTGTTAGCGTTTCGCTTGTGATGCAGCCAAGTGAGGAGGCAGCTTGTGGACTACGCATAATTAAGTGTATTACAACGGGACAGATTAAACAGAGCAAATCATGGATGCGATCGAAGAGTGAGTACAGTTTCCAGTATGAATGGGGCTTGCACCTCTTGCAGAAAGAGGAAAACAAGGAGGAATGTGTAGTGGTGCCGCGAAGTTGTTATTCGGATGTGTATTATTTTCTGGCAGCGCAGCTTATAAAATGAGACCTCTAATACTGCTGGAAAGAGAAGCGTTGCGTTTGTGTCTGGGTCTACCAAAATTTGTTGCAAATAACGTGTTGTATATGGAAGCTCGCCTACCTTCTCTGCTAAATAGGTTGAAAATTCTTACTGTGCAAGCATTCTTAAAGATGTACAGTTCACACCAAAGACACTCATTTTACGCTTTCATTCAAGAACCGGCTTTATTTTTCGAAACCCATTGGTCGCGACTACACACCCCACAAATAGTATTTGCACAAGCGCTACTACAGCAACTGAATGTAAAAATTAAACATATTGGTCCAATACACAACCTAAAGTCAATGCTTAGCATACAATTTGATGATATATTTTCTCATAACGCGAAACAATTGGCACATAGGTTGGCACATAGGTATTTAAATGACCAGTTAGCAGATTATCTAGCTCACCTAGAGATAAGCAATACCATTGCGACTGATATGCATCTGTGTCAAAAGAAAAGGCTGGGGTTGGCATCTTCTCTCCTTCTTTGGATTGGTCCTTTTCGATTTGACTCCCATGCAGATTATACCCCTGTATTCATTGCAGAATTATTGGCCATTGTTCTTGCCCTACGCAAATTGCCCTCAAGCGAATCATTAGCAGTTATTACAGATTCGTTATCAGTTTGTAATGCACTTTCTGCGCCAGTAAATGCACAGCTGATGAATACGTTTCGGCATTTAGTACCGAAAAACGTAAAAAAACTGCATTTGCTATGGGTACCGGGCCACCGCGGATTGTATTTGAACGAAATGGCTGACTCTTTAGCAGCAGTATCCCTGGGTGGGCCCACCATCCCAGTTTTGCCAGATACGGCTTACGTGACAGCGCTAAGGTTCCGAAATGCTTGCCTGCAATGGGGAAAAGGTAATTTGGATAATTTCAAAGATTTCGAGCATTTGAGCTATTGCTGGAATAAACAGTGGTGTTTATCTCGCCAGTTAGAGGTCACTTATACCAGATTGCGCTGTGCAGTTCCACAACTAAATTATTACCTTAACAAAGCTCAACTCAAGGCGTCACCGCTATGCATTTGGTGCAACGAAATTGAAACAATTGAACATTTCTTTTTATTCTGCCATCGTTATTCTTATCAGAGAAAAAGATTATTAGTAGCCCCATTACAAATGCTAGGAATACAAGTAAATCTACTAGTAATTTTATCACTTGGTGGAACTTCATTTGGTTACTGCCACAGGGATGTATGCTCCACTGTGTTTGATTACATCAACGCTACTAAAAGATTACCGTGCTAGTGAACCCCAACCTTTTCAGATCTTTAGTTTATAATTCGTAATTATTTCTATCAAAAACAAGAGATGGTTTGACCGCTTGCTCAGCAAACATTTTTGTTTTTTTTTTTTGGTAGTATTATTTTTAAACTACTTTTTCAGATTGGCTTCATTTTTATTTTAGTTTAATTTAAGTATCCTGCCGCCCGATTCTTGTCCCCCTCTGTGGGTGAGCGCCATCCATAAGAGGTCATCATCATCAGTTGTTATTGTTCGATTGTGACATCAATAAATATGACACTGGCGCTTCCCTGTCGCGCGTGACGATTGTGTATCGTTTTCGTGTTTACTTGGCAAGAGTTCAGAGTTTGCAGTGGCAAACATTTGTTGGTGTCGCCTGACATCTTTTTATTTTTGTACAACCATTTAAATATTTCATTTAACTCCAAACTATTTGCTCTCACTGAAGTCACCTTTGCTGACAATAAATGAGAATGACAAGGCTCTCAATTCCATACGGCAAGTGCGCATGTCTCATTGTGTACGATATACAATTGTTACGTGCTTGTGTATCAGTGTGGTGTAGGGTATTGGCCCACAGATAGTCGCAGTGCTGTGTAGTTCGTGTTTAGTAAAATGATACACCCGTGAGACTGACTTGGGCTTTTAAGTATTTTCTAGGCTTATTGGCGTCTGTCTTGATATATTTTTCGAAAGTGGGGATTTTTGTGTGCTTTCCAGAGTAATGTCAAGAGCGTTGGGATGTATTTAGCAGAAGTAACCTATGACTATTTCTGTTTGCAGAACACCAGATGAAGACGAATCCCCCGAGGTACAAGGTGTACTGTGGACATGCAATAGTTCCCTGTCATCCATATCCATCGGCAAATACACCGTGACATCCCTTAGTTTCGGCATTCACCACTGCCTTTTTCTTACTGATAGTGGTGCAGTATTTGCCTTCGGGAAAAACGAATTTGGGCAGCTTGGTAGTGGGAACACTGTCGAATATTCAACAGTTCCATACCACGTTACTGGAGTGAAGCACACTGCAAAGGACATAGCGTGCGGTCCAAACCACAGCGCAGCTCTGACCATTGATGGCACTATCTACATGTGGGGTGAAAATTACCAAGGACAATGTGGGTTTTTTGACCACACTGTTCTTAGCCCAAGGAAAGTTGAGGTGGAGGAAGAACTTGGGAAGTGCAAAGATTGTGGTTCCACAGTTGTTGCTCGTGCACTTTTCATCAGTGTTTCATGCGGATTTATTCATACGCTGGCTTTAACAAATAACCATAAAGTATTTGCTTGGGGCACTGGTCCCCAGCTTGGGCTCAATGCAACTACGAGGAGTGTACCAAAGAGAATAGACTCCCTGAAGGAGAGAAAGGTTTTGTCAGTGGCATGTGGTTTATCGCATAGTTTGGCTGTGACGGAAAACATCCCACCCATTGCTAATGACAGTCTTGTCACATGCAGTAGTTGTGAGGTAAAATCAGCCACCTGCCCTCTTGGTTTGCCTTGCATAGTCCCAACACCTGTCTCTATGCAAGATGAAACAGGAACACTTCAACTAACAGAGGAAACGGTAGATTGTGCAGTAACTATCATAGGAAATCAGGGTTTGGTAGAAGAATTCAACTTGCAAGGAACTTTGGCAGGTTCAACAAATGTGTATACAGACGATTTAACCAGCGCTGACGTACAAGTGCAAGGCCTACCTTGTCAGAACGATAGTGATCACAATGAAAAAGGCCAGATGCTGCTTATTTCTGAACCATCTGTGAATGCTGACATCACAAATAATGCTAAAGAAACTGATGTGTGCCCTGAAAAGGATAAACAAGAAACAGATGCTAGCAAGAGCCAAGAAGCTGTTCACGATGAATTTGAAGGGATTGAGCTAAGAAGAGGGCAACTTCCCGTCGAGCGCTTGAGGTCAGCATCTGTGCCTTCAAAGCGAACATCATCCATCCTCAACCCTGAACACGCTATGGAGTTCCTTGATAGGCAGCTTGGTCACAAGCCACATTCAAAAGCACGGCAATCTCTGGCAGCGGACTCAGTCAGTGAACCTAGCCAGGGAATTTCTTCAAGTACTTCATCAATTGCTGTAAAAAACATGTTCTCCCGTGTCACTTCACTTTTTGTCGACCGGCTAAATTTTGTCTCTTTTGCACCTCAGGTTAGTACAGCAGGATCTCGCAGTGGCTCTGCTGAATCATTTGAGTTGGTAGAGCCTGATCATATTTCGGACACTTGTCATTCCGAAAAGATGGAAGGCCATTTAGAGCGACCGAAAAGTGTCTCACTATCATCATACGACAGAGAAGTGCAATTGCCCAAGCAGAACATGATCACTCAAGTTTGGAGCTGGGGAGAAGGAACTGATGGTCAGCTTGGACACGGTGATAACCTTGACAGGTAACACTTTTTCACTTATGTGTAATGACCCGCTACATTTTAACCTATGAATCATGGCACAGGGCCAGTGGCGGATCCAGAGGGGGGGGGGGGGGGGGGTAGGGGCGATCGCCCTCCTTCCTCACTTCAGTGCTCGTAGTCCACCTCCTATCATCAATAAGAACAAATGAGTGATACTACTGTGAGCTCACTTTAATAGTATTTATGCAGTGAAGGGGTTTTTCTGCTAGTAAAAAAAAAAAAAGTCATGAACCCCCTCAAACAACCTCTCTGTCCATGCCATTGATTATAGCAGTTCGTTATATCAAGGCTCCACTCTAGATAAAATGGAACATTCTATGAAGTGGAGCTCGGCACAAGTTAAGCCATACTGATTAGCAAACCTACTTTAGGTTAGAGAAGTTTTTATTCTTGTAATAAAATGCTTTTAATTGCTCAATCTCCGGCGCACTTACCCTTGCAGGTGACTGTCATTTTTAAGAGCTTGTGAAGTTAAAACCATAAAAAATTTATCATTTATAGTCTTACTGCAGAAGTGTACTCCTATAGTAAGACACGGGGAAAAATTTAACCTGCTTCATAGTGTTCTTACTTTGCAAATTTCTGCAGAATTATATTTACATTTATTAAAATGCAATGTCTAATGACAGAAGATCACAGTTATTAGTTGTACAACCAGAAATAAAACTTATTATGAGCACATCAGTTTCACAGAGCATTTGCTTATAAAGCAGTTAAGATGTATAACATTTCTTCGCATTTGGTTTACTTGTTTGTCATGTACTGCATGCTATAAACAGTGCGCTCTTTGGTGTAGGTGAATGTGGCATGAACAGTGTTGGGCAAAGGGCAACACTAAATATAATATTGGAGTCTTTAAATACTGCAGTTTGTTGATTTTAGGAAGAACTTGCATTTTTTTTTTAAAAGAAGCAGTTTCCACTAATGTCAGTTACACGATGCTATAAAATAGTTTAATAATTTTTTTCGTTGATTTAATATTACATTATTGGTATATATTAGTTATCGTATGGCAGCCTGTGTTGTCTAAATATCCTAATATACAATTATTGGCATTTTGCAATTGATGTATATCAAATCAAATCCTTATTCTTCTCAAATATATGGAATCTTTATTCATCTCAAGAGCGTGGAAGAAAAATATACATTAGGAGGTCCCATGGCACTAGGCTAGAAAGGGACCTCCTGTTAGAACTTTATATGTTAAGTTCGAAAATGACAATGAAATATTAAGCAATATTTTATAGCCACAGAAACAAAGCAAATGAAGATCAGTAGTAAATGTAACTGTAGCATGCAGAAATCAGTTCCGCCGTGGAGGCAGACAAGTTCACTTGTCAAAATACCAGCTCGAGCACATGCTCCTTGTTTATGGATTTTCTCATCGCAAGCCTTCATCTTCCCCTTCCGGCCGAATAATAATTCTACACGTAGAGTAATGTAAATATAAAAATACAGATTGCTTATGAGTGCAAAGTAAAATAAATGTTTTTTTTCAAATGCTCCTAATGTAAATTGCTAAGTGCTTAGTTGTATTGTGTTCCAGAATGGTATAGCTGTAATTGTGACGGTATGTTTGCAATACTTAATATGTACATGTGCTTGTAAAAAGCTGTTAGAGGCAAACCTAGTGGGAATAGACTTTAACAAATGTATTCACTCTAATACAGCAGTTGTTAAAGTATCATTAAGGTACTTATTCACAAAAATTCCCAGTTTATACTTAAACAAATTACATATTGTTAGTTATCCACTTTGCTGAAAATGTGAGGACTTGCTGGGGATCGGAGCACTGAATATTAAGGGGGAATAGCCTGGTTGTGGTGACATTAAAGCGGAAGACTGTGAGAGGGATACGTGCTCGCCCATGATGTAGTATAGTGCATTATCAGACTGTTGATGAAGGCGTAGTGTAGTTTAAGCAAAGTGGGCAATTTGAAGAATAGTCATGCTTTAATTAATATTCTTATATCAAGAGCTATCTTTTGTCTTATATCTGAAATTTGATCAAGGTACTTGAGATGAGCATCAAGGACCACTTCAAAAAATGTCCATTCAGTAATAAGAAGGCTGTGGTCATCGATAGTCATGACAGGTGTAGGTGAAAGAGCATTATTACAATAATGGAAGTCAACAAATCGTATTTTATTAGTATCAATTAATAAACCATTAGCTTCCTACCAGTAATGAATTTTCTTGCAGTCAGCAGACAATTTGTTAGTTAACATATTGATGGACTTCTCTCTACTAGCTACATAGTTGAACCCCTTTATAAGAAACACTGATGTTAAGAGACACCAGAAGGCCTACATCGAAAGAGGGGTTGCGAAGAAAACAGATATGTGGTACCCTGCTTATAAGAAACACCTTATATAACAGACCAAAATTGCTCTGTGGTGTATCTCTCCTATAAAGGGGTTCAACTGTAGTACATCTTAATGGAAACAAGGTTGACTGTGTGTTAAATTAGCAGCTAGGTCATTAAAGTAAATTCCAAATATAAGTGGGCCAAGTATGAAACCTTGTGGGGGCATCTTTGTCAATGAATTGAAAAGTGGAAAGGCTATTCAAAACACAAACAGCCTGCTGCCTGTGAGGTAAACAGCTTTTCATCAGTTCGTGTGCACTACCTGTGATGCCTATTAAATTTGGATAAGAGTATATAATTAGCTATAGAGTCAAAGGCCTTAGAAAGGTCAATAAATAGGGCAGTGGCAAAACATCGCAAGTCAAGTGCATGTTTGATATACTAATTATTCAAAGCAAGTAGTGTAAAATCTCTCGAATAACCTTCATGAAGACCAAATTGCTAAATGGATAAAATACCAAACTTAGTTAATTATTTGTGCAATCACTTTTCAGTGCATTTCTCTTCATTTTTCTCTATGATGAAAAAATGGCTAATAGGCTGGTAGTTAAAAAAAATTTCTATCACCTTTTTAAAGACTTGGATAATCCTAGCCTTTCTTAAATTGCAATATAAAAATCTCAGTTTTTGGCAAGTGGGAATCGTTTGTAGTTGTAGATGCTTCACAACTTAGTTAGTTTATAATAATCAATGTTAATTTTGGCTGTATTTATCCAAACCCTTATCTGTACAATATATATATATATATATATATATATTTGTAGTTATAGTTAATCAGAAGCCGTTCTTGTGTCAGTTACATGCACTTAGCCTACCTGTTTTATATTGCGCATGCTTTAGGAAAGATGTCTTAAAAATAGCATGTCATAGAGTAATGTGCAATTTAATAAATTATTGGGCTCTCTCTCTATCAGGGGAGATCAACTATACTGCAGGTAGCTTATAGACAATTTTCTGTAGCTAGTTTGTTCATTCAGAACTAGATGGCACCGAAATACTGTAGTCGTCTCCCTACCATAGCCATCCTTCTGTAGTGGCCGTCTGCAGCACTGCTCAGCATCCGCGTCGCATCGTTCGCTAAGCGTTTCTATAGGCTTTACACGATGCAGATGCTATGGGGGCGTTGAACGAAGCAGACTGACGCGCCGGTAAGTAAAAGTGAAGGAGGCGGACACGCTGCAAAAGTCAAAATGGCAGCACCTATGGGTGCAGTTTCCTTCCGCCTCGATCTTATCATGTCATTATTCTGTGCTGTGTGGCCCTTAAGTTCACAATGCACGCATTTATTTGCTATAAATTTCTGTCTAGAAGCTTCTAGAGCAACATATTTGTCGGTATTTTGCAGTGTTTTGAAGATTAATTCTCAAATTCTCTGAGACTAAGCTTAGCAAGCATGGTTAAATAAACAGCTGATTTCCTTAATAAAGGCAGAGCATACCTGATGCTTTGTCCGCAGCGGGAGTTGACACAAATAGGTAGCTGATTTCACCATTAATTTATTGCTGTGACGACAGTGGGTGCATAGCAAGTGCGAGTTTGGATTGAAGCAGGTAGTACGTTCATGTGGGTGCTGCCATGTTGGCTTCTAACCTAAGCTGTGGTCAAGGCCGCTTCGCTGGCCTAATGCGTTGGCTGGGGCAATTGGCTAGGAGAAGGCCATTTGCAGTCGCAACATCAAATATGGTAGTGACTGGGCACCGCTGCCTAAAATTGTATATATAAGAAAAGAGGACCTCTGCCATTGTTACATGCAGTTCACACCAGTGTTATATTTTGAATTTTTTACATGAAGTAGCAAAGTATACTGTATACTGCTTTGGTTTCTGGTATTTTTCTCACTTGAAAACTCTTGTTTTTGAGTCTGCTCATTACAATCAATCCATACCAAGCCAGTGTCTACTTACTTATCTAAATGTAAGAGAAAGCTGCTAGTGCAGCTTTTGCCTGCTATACATTTATAATAGTTATAAATTGACTGCATTTTGGAATAGGACTCCTTTCATTGTCCACCGAAGTATAGTACCTGTGACTTGTGGTGTTGCCTGAGCAGGCGTAGATGACCTGAGTGGTGTACCTCTCACATTCTTCAGAATGCAGCCCTGCCTAATGAAACACCTGAATGACTTCGGCGTGTTGAAAGTGAGTGCTGGCCATGGTTACTCTCTGGCTCTCACCCGCAGCTTCAGCGTGTTCAGTTGGGGCTTGAATAAGCATTCACAGCTTGGCCACAGTCCTACTGCCAAATGCATTTCCACTCCTAAACTGGTTGCTGTAAGTTTTGAATAACCACAGTAGACCATTGTTCCTTGCATGCAGGTGCTTGTATGTTTGCATTGGCTTGTGGATACTTTGTATTAAAACAAATTTCAAAAAACTCTGAAGCCATAAATAGTAACTAGACTATAATTTATTATAGTCTGTTGAAACAATATTGTAAATATTAATGAGCTTCTTGTGGATTTGCTGATGAGAAAGAAATTTGAATTCATGCATTTTTTAGTGTTTTATTTTAGGAATTATATCTACCTTAGTGTTGCTTGTGATAAACTGTGCCGTTTTTTGTATGTACCATTTGATGGGATATTTATTTTATGCTTACGACATCAGTGAAAAAGAATGGTCTAGTGGCTAAGGTACTCGGGTGCTGACCCACAGGTCGTGGGATCGAATCTCAGCTGCGGCGGCTGCATTTATGATGGAGGCGGAAGCGTTGTAGGCCCGTGTGCTCAGATTTGGGTGCACGTTAAAGAAGCCCAGGTGGTCGAAATTTCAGGAGCCCTTCACTACGGTGTCTCTCATAATCATATGATGGTTTTAGGATGTTAAACCCCACATATCAATCAATCAGTGAAAAATAACAATATTTATTTACTTATTCTAACACACACGCTATAATGCAGGATAAGTTTGATGCTTGAAGTGATGAGAAATGGTAGCGGAGGAATGTCACCGGTGCAAAAATTTTGACAGGAGGATTTTTCTTCATCATGGCAGTTGCTTTCCTGATGAAGATAATTTCTTTTGTGCATTATGTACAAAGCAGCACCTTATCACCTTAATTGAGTTTCTTTGAATGAAGTATCCAGTGCTTTACAATACATTAATAGTAGAAATTTGATGGATTTATTAATAGTCCCTAATAATTCATGCCTGAACATGTCAAATCGCTGCTAAGGTTTTACTTTACTTGGGATACAAGTCAGCTCAGTTACTTAAACTTTTGGTGAATATAGTCTACAATACAAAGCCAGTAAGGGGAAATTCGGCAGCCTTTGTACAAACAACTTTGTGTAGTGTTGGGCAAGGTTTCATTGTGTTGTGGGAACCCATTCAATAGCCAACAGCTATAGTTACTTATCCATATTTCCCCATTTTTCTTGTACAAACACTTACATGTAGATTTGACTAACATTTAAAAATAATCCAGGTGCATCAAGTGTGTACTATCGGTGTCAAATGAAATGCGAGCAGTGCAGCGCATGTCCCAAGCATTAGCAACGGTACAATCATCACCAGTGACATTTCCTCTGATCCAGTTTGGCAATACTGCACAATCCCATCATAATGGAATATTTTTGCTTGTGTTCTAGTTTTGATGTGGTGATGATAGGGGCTAGTGTAAGCATGTCGAGCACTTTTTATTGTTTCACTTTTATTATTATTTTTTGGCCTTCGTTTTGAATATTGGAACTAAAACGGAAGCAAAAATGTGCAGCAGGGAAATTGTGCTGTGCTGCCAGACAGGATATGCAGAGTGAACGTGTTTGTCGTAATGACTGGAGGGCTCACACTCACTTTGTTGAATGCTTGCAGCATGCGCTCCTCTGTTCGTATTTTATTAGACGCTGATTGTACTGGGATTAACAGCATGTGACACAAAACAATGATGACAGGCAAGGCCATGGCCATAATTAAGGATGGGGGTAGGGGAGAGGAAGAATTTCATTACCGCAAAATTTTTTCTTGCTTTAACTTAAATGTTTACATGCCTTCACACTGGCCACCAGATGCCATATTTTAAAAATGAATGAAAAACAACTAACGTAAGACTATTCTCTATTTATTATATTTAAGCACTGTGCTTTATTCATACACAGAAATAAGGCTATATAATTGTTTCAAAATGGCAATCATTTGTAATGCTCACTCACGTGGGATGCATATGTTGGTTATATTCCAGTATCAAGTTGCAGTAAATGGCTGAATACTGCTGACGAGCTTTCATGAATTGTGAGATGGAACAATTCAGTATAGCTGTGGTTTTAGCGCATGGCGTAATGCACATAAAAGGTCAGAGTTGCATAGTATTGTAGCAATGTCACTTGTTCTTGAAAGGTGGATTGGCAGCACACCAGCTTAATAACTCTATATTATGGCTGAATGAAAGCAGGGGAATTCAAGGGCTTGTTTTGCTTTTTTAGACACAATCTTAAAGGGGCCCTGCAACACTTTTTGAGCATGGTCAGAAAACACTGCTGATTGGTAGTAGAAGCTTCTAAAAACACGCGAGCCAAATGTTGTAGCACAGAACGTGGCCTGTAATTTGCAATAAATTATCGTTCAGCTAAAAATTGCTTTTTCTTCCCTCGACAAATCACAGAATATGCCCGAAAATCAAACGTAGATGGCCCATCTGTCAGTCATTGGCTGATTTGAACATGGCGCGCTCGGTTGTTACAGAAATCGCCGCGAGAGGCCGTCACTTGTCCATGCGTGCCCGCGCGATCACACTAATAAAGCTGCGTATTCAATGAAAAAGAAAAAGAAAATAGATCAAGGTCACGAGACGAGCGTGACAATTGTTTGCCCCTCCAATCCCCCCCTGGTTAGCTTCCAGCGCTTTCGTCGGGATGGGAGAAGAGAGAATGAAATTGCAGCATATGACAAATTTTTGTAACTCTGCTTGTACTGGACAGATTCTTAAAATTTTTCAGGTGTTGAATTTGTTGGGCAATATGCTTTTCCCGTGAATTAATTCCATGTTTACTTAAACTGTTTCAGGGCCCCTTTAAAGGGTCCGTATACATCCCAGAGGTCGACAAACTGTTTTTAAGAGAAATATGCGCACTTTTGCTATGTGAAAATGCTGTGTCAATAATTTCGTAAATATGTGCTATAATGAGAAAGAGACAGGAATTAGAACATCCGTTTTAGCTGGTTTCAAATTTTCTTGCGGCCTTGCCACCTTTCTCTGCCATAAAAAGGGGGAAGGTGTAGCCTGTCATTGTGACTTCGTCCACATCAGTGTGACAAGACATGGGCGATGCATCATCAGCGCGCAGCCAATGACCGAGCAGGGCAGCCCCGACATCAGCTCGTGTCATAGTGGCAATGGGGGGAGGTGGGGGAGAGTGGGATGGGGGGTGGATGTGCGATTCGAGAAGCACCTTTCCTCTAGCGGTAAAGTAGTGAGACACCTCTATCTTGGAGACCTTCATTCTGGTAATACCGCTTCTCCTGGTAATCTCGGGCTCTATGAAACAATAGAGGGCAGCCCAGGAAAATGAAAATGCAGGCTTCGCAGTCGAAACTGCATCACCACATGACCAAAGTGCCGTTTCGTAGGGCAAAGGACCAATTGACGAGTTCAGGGGTACGTAGAGTTGCCCACGGGCTAGCTTGTATCAGTGTGCGTACGAGGGAGATATGTCAGGGGAAGGAAACAGCTGCAAAAATTGTTTTTCCAAGTCGAGGGTCTGCTCGATGTGCAGTACTGTAATATTTGGAAAATGTGATCGCTGTGTTCTACTGTATGAATTGGTGAGCTTGTTTGAGGGGTGTAAAAAAATTGTAGCCTGTTTACGGGTCCTTTAATGTACCAACAGACAGTCAAGCCAAAGAAGGTATAGAGGATGTTATTTTTAGTGATTCAAGATGGATGTGAACAAGCTAAAGTGAATGAAAAGGCAACTTGACTTTGGCAGGTAGTGAATCTGCAATCTTTGAATAAAGTGTCCGATGCACTACCAAGTGAGCTGAAGTGGCATTGGTCCTACCGTCTGCTTTATTAGGTATATCTATGCATCTAACTTGAAAGCGTTAGTGTCTGTCGCAACGACAATGAGTGTGGAGCACTCTACGAGCTGGTAGCTGACCAATAATCCTTTGGTTAGCTGCCAGCTCGTAAAATGGTAAGGTAAAAGGTAAGTAAAAGTTTTTTACGCTCGCCATCAATGCTATGAGAAACGCTCAGTAGCACTCTCTAGTTGAAATGTATTGGTTTACTTTATAAAGTAGATGGGAGGACGACACAGTAGCTCAACTGGGAGAGCATCGAACGCATTTGAAGGTTGCAGGTTCAGCCATGGCTTGTGGCAAGTTGTCCTTGTGTCTACTTTATTTCTTCACATTTATATCACAATTACTATAAATGATGTTAGTTATACTTTCTTTGACTTGATTGTCTCTTGGTTCTCATGACGGTTGTGTCTAACAACATTATGGCTGTCGATTTGGCATATGCTACGATGAGCCAATTTCGCATTGGCAGTGTGTTGAAAAAGCATCGTTATTGCTATGACAGAGCATTATCAGTTTCAGTTTTATTTACTGTCATATAAAACATACATGCTTATATGTGTATACAAAAAAGGTTGGAGGTTTGCCCTATTTATTAGGAAGTAAACTACCCTGCACAATTAACCCCTACAAAGGACAAATACTTAAGATTCTTGCTGCACAGTAAATTTTCCTATGACATATGAGTGATTTTCAGACCAAGCTTGTCTAGGCCAAGCTTTTCCCAGCATCATGTGTGTCTTCGCTTTTCCTTTTCGTGCTATTATTTAAATGCAATGCATGCCAACCAATTCGCTCAGTCTGCAGGGTTTTCTAACTTTAGGGGAAAAATTTATCTGTGTATTACTTTCTACATAACTTATGACCTCACTATCGACTATGTATAGAGTTTATAATATGTGAACAGATTAATGTGCTCATCCATATATTTTCCTAGCAAGAATTAAAGTCATCTTAGAGGAGTTATTGGTGAAATGGGGCAACTTCTTTATCATAGAAAAGAAAAAGCGCAAAGGCAGAACAGCAGCTTAAAATCTGCGTATGCAATTTCCCTGTCATCCTAGCTTTTTTTGCCATTATAAATCAGATAGTACCAGAGCCAGAGCATCTGTCTAACTGTGAGCAGTAGATTTCTTTGTTCAGAATTGAATGTGCTGTCTTAATGCTTTCTTCTTCATGAGAAATGTCTACCAGCTGTAGGTTTTTCCCAGACAAATATTTTACCGCTATATTTGCTTGTATTTTTATATTTAAGCGACTATACTGCATGTATGTGCTGTTTTTGGCAGCAGTCAAGTTCACGATTGCCTGCGTACTGCAGCAATAAATATGTGCCTGTGCACGCAATGCCTTTGCATGGGATTAAGTACTTATTAGTCAAGCCTTGTATATTTTGGTGTATACCTTGTAGAACGACTGTATATTTTTACTTTATCAATCAAATTCATGAACTGCTTCAATGTGTTAGTGCATAACACGGTTTTGCTCATTTGGTCAGTCAGATTTTTTTCGTTCTTGTAGTTAAAAGTAGAAAAATACAGTGAACTCTCAATAAACTGAAGTCTCTTCAAAATGAAACTAAACTGCTGTTTTTTATATGACTGATTGCATTTCGTTTTCTGCTTGCCTTTTCATCTCTCAATTAACAGAAGCTCTTCCTGTTAAATGGAACATATTTTTTTTGTTCAATAATATTTCGAAAAAAAAAAGGACAGCTTTCCTGTCTTCATTTTTTTTTTTTCAAAATAATTTGCCATAATTAAAATGCACGATTTCAAGCTCATAAACTGCGGGTGTGGGGATGAAGTTTCAGCTCTGAATTTTATCAAGCTTGGGTTTTATGTTTGAACAATTTCTACAAAGACTATCGTCATGCAGTGCAGATAACTGACAAAATCGGTGCTTGTGGGCAGAGAAAATGCTTGCAAGCAAAAATAAATTCACATCCTCATAGTATCGACTACGATACAAATTTAGCTTGTAGCTTAGTAAGAAACAAATGAGGATAAAGAAGAAGCAGACACAAGTGTTACTGTTTGTTACTTCTCCTTTGTCCTTGTTTGTTTCTCCACTTTGCTACAAGCCAGTTGATGATGAACCAACAAGCCCATATTGGTACCTTTGTTTTTATAGATATAGATCTTGCTTGGGGCCGGCAGCAGTTTGAAAACTGCATTGAGGGACGAAGGTATTATAATTGTTTGTGGTGTAATGTTAGATTATTTCACCGATAATCAGTTGTGCTTACTTTCTTTTTCACCACAGTGTGCCCTTGTAGCTTATAGTCAGTGTTTGTGTTGTCTGGTACTCTCTCTCTCTCTCATAATCCTGCCTGCATGCTTTGGCTTCTTTAATAATGAATTCTTGCCAGCTAGCTAAACTTCTAGTCATTCTAGAATATCTTTCTCTGCTTCTTCTGCGTCATCCTTGAATTGATACAACTTCAAATATTCGGTGGAAGTAAGCCTTGTATCCCCATTTTACTTCAGTGTGCCTCAGAGAGTTGAGCTGTTACTTTTTGTTGTGCATTAGTATTCACATTGTGTATAACTAAGTTATCGAGGAGTGTAATAAATATAAGTGCATATGCTCAATTAACTGTCTTCTAAACACTCTGTGCTGTTTTGTCACTCGTATTACGGGCACATTTTTCATAACTCTTATGTGAAAGTACTTCTGTTTCCAAAGTTTCTTTGTGTTTGTCCTTATATTTGTGTGGTTACTCTCCAGAGTGTAAATTGGACATGCTGTTGACATCTTCAACTATTATACTTTGCAAATCTGGAAGGACAGGAGCAGATGGTTTCATGTGTTTGACGTAACACTACGAATCTAGTGGAGTGATTGCAACACATAGTTATGACTACAAATTGCATTTTATAAATGGTTTGGCATGTCTCACAAAATTTTTTTAAAGCCTTGTGAGCCTATGTCATCAGTGTTTTCCTTTTTTTTCATAAACATTGGCACATTTTGGAAGCTTATTGGGACTGTAGTTGTAGCCTGCAGCTTAAGAAATATCTTTCATAGGGAATGTACTTGTGTGACTTTGTATCAGATATAGTTTGATATTATCTAACAAGTTTCTGGTTCGTTTTTTATGAGCCTTTCTTCATGGCATTTTCCAGCATGACTATGACTTTGCCTGCATATGCTGCAATCTGTAAATTTTGATGACTGGAAAGCAAGAAGCTTTTTAGTTCATAAACACATTTTTTTGCTACTTTCCGGGGATATTATGCAATTTGTGAAATTGTATATATTGCATTGAAAATATAACTAGGTATTTATCTCTATCTTTAGATGCCCAGAAACGACCTGGTTTTTGACATTGCAGCTGGTATTAGCCATTCTTTGTTTTTGGCTGATGGTGGTGGATCTTATCCTGTGATGTATGGCTGTGGAGAGCATCTGTAAGTGCCCTTGCAAAGTAATGTACTGTTCACTATGTACAGCAAATTGAAGAACAGTGTGTATGAGTTTTTATGTTCACTAGTGATAGCATTGTAACAGGCTTTTTTTTCTGTTTGTAATCAGTGAACTTATGTTCAGTCAGTTTCTTTGGTTTTTAGATCTTTTACTATTTTAGTGAATCTTTTTTGTTGTATAATTAGGTAGTAGGGAGCATTAAATGGAAAATTTCAATAAATACATACAAATAACAGAGACAGTTCATAACATATGAAATGTTTAAATGTCTATAAATTTTTTTCAGTGCCTAAACCACTGTGTAATATTTGCTTTGTATTTGCAAAGTCCAAGACTCTTTTGTGAACCTCCAATTTCAGTATGACGCATATGTTACTCTGCCATTTGGGCTACAATTCCATTCACTTTCTTTTTTTGAGCCCTTCCATTCACTTTCTTTGTTAATAGATTGCTGCATTTGTCGTTCAGAGGTTGAGAGCTTGGCCCCCCTTCTCAACAGTGTTGTCGTTCATTCTACTTGCTTTAATTTTTATTATAAGAATGGACCCTGGAACGATTTGAGCTGTTGTGTTCAGGCCTTTTTAGAAGTTAGCATTACTCCTTTCGACCATTAACAGACTGATTGAAGCAGTATGCATTATGCATAGTGTGTATAATTTATTACAGTAAAAGCTCATTGTTTTGAACTCGGTTGATTCGAACTTATAGGTAATTCGAATTGATATCCTAGTCTCGGCACAGCCTTGTGTAAATTTATGGGTGAAAACCTTAATAATTACTACAAGTTGGTATCTTTAACGGTTAATTCGAATCGAAGCCCTTGGTTTTCATCACGCCTTGCATAAGTCAGCCCAAATGTATCACAATATGTTGCAAAACCAAATAAAAGTAAGTTTCATTTGGTTTTGTTTCGTTTACTAGAGAAACAATAACATTTCTCAGCAGTTTACAATTACGACACTTCTGTGACACCATTGAACAAGCTAGGAACGATGCTCATGGAACCACGATATACTAAATCCAAGCCATTTCAAAATAACTGATTACTTTAGTTTTGATTGTGTTGATTCTGCCATGTAAATAAATGTGTTTTGGAGCATAAATAGCATCATATATTTTAAATTAAGGCTCACTGCTCACATGAATACATGTGGAGGTTTGTTTCTGGTGTATCATTCTGTGATCAATTAATTCTGTCCAGTGCGGGAGCTCCATCCACTTAATTTACAAAATCACCTGCCACAAATATGTAGTAGTGCCTAATTCACGATAACGAGTCAAGCGGTGGCTTCTTTGGTGCGATGTCCTTTCATTACAGTGCAGGTCTGTTAATTCAATTGCCACTGAATTTGAGCAATTTGATAGTACCCTACGAGCTGTAATTAAGGAGATTTTACTATATAAGGCCTAAACATGTGCATACGCAAAGGCATCACCACACAGTGTTTTAAGTGACCCTTGCATTTGGGATAGAGTATGGTTTTGTGAATAATTGGCTTCTATAGCATTACTTGAAGAATTACAGGCCGATCAGCTTGCTCTCTGTAGTATACAAGCTATTTACAAAGGTAATTGGTAACAGAGTAAAGAAAACATTAGAATTCAATCAACCAAAGGAACAAGCAGGATTTCGAACAGGCTACTCAACAATGGACCACATTCATACTATCAATCAGGTAATAGAGAAATGCTCAGAGTATAACCAACCACTATACATAGCCTTCATGGATTACGAGAAGGCGTTTGATTCAGTAGAAATATCAGCCGTCATGCAGACACTGCGGAATCGGGGCGTAGATGAAGTATATATAAACATTCTGGAAGAAATCTACAGGGGATCAACTGCTACCATAGTGCTTCATAAAGAAAGCAACAGAATACCAATCAAGAAGGGTGTAAGGCAGGGGGACACAATCTCCCCAATGCTATTTACCGCGTGCTTTCAGGAGGTTTTCAGAAGCCTGGAATGGGAACAGTTAGGGATAAGAGTCAATGGAGAATACCTTAGTAACCTGCGCTTCGCCGATGACATTGCATTGCTGAGTAACTCGGGGGACGAATTGCAACTCATGATTACGGAGTTAGACAAGGAGAGCAGAAAAGTGGGTCTTAAAATTAATCTGCAGAAAACGAAAGTAATGTACAACAACCTCGGCAAAGAGCAGCGCTTCGAGATAGGTAATAGTGCACTTCAAGTTGTAAAACACTATGTCTACTTAGGGCAGGTAATAACCGCAGAGCCTAACCACGAGATTGAAGTAACTAGAAGAATAAGAATGGGGTGGAGCACATTCGGCAAGCACTCTCAAATTACGACAGGTAGATTGCCACTATCCCTCAAGAGGAAGGTATATAACAGCTGTATCTTGCCGGTACTTAGCTACGGAGCAGAAACCTGGAGACTTACAAAGAGGGTTCAGCTTAAATTGAGGACGACGCAGCGAGCAATGGAAAGAAAAATGGTAGGTGTAACCTTAAGAGACAAGAAGAGAGCAGAGTGGATTAGGGGACAAACGGGGGTTAAGGATATCATAGTTGAAATAAAGAAGAGGAAATGGACATGGGCCGGACATGTAGCATGTAGACAGGATAACCGCTGGTCATTAAGGGTAACTAACTGGATTCCCAGAGAAGGGAAGTGGGTTAGGGGGAGACAGAAGGTTAGGTGGGCAGATGAGATTAAGAAGTTTGCGGGTATAAATTGGCAGCAGCAAGCACAGGACCGGGTTAACTGGCGGAACATGGGAGAGGCCTTTGTCCTGCAGTGGACGTAGTCAGGTTGATGATGATGATGATGATGATGATAGCATTACTGCAGAAGAAAGTATGAGTGACCTGGTTTTCAGCAGCACCATGTACCAAAGAGATTAGCCATACAAACACAGAGCGTATCTTGTGTGTGCCGATGGATGATTATGGAAGCCAGAGCCTAGTCCTGGTTACGCGAAGATGTTGAGAAAAAACATGGTTTCAGAGAAGGGGGGGATGATATTTAATCACCTGTCAGTTTCTTGATACGAGATATTGTGCTTAAATTATGTTCAGAATAATTTACTCAAGCGGTAGACTTGCTGCTTACATATTTTCAGAAAACTGTATCAGGAACTTTTGTTAATAATATGAAGATTACCACAAGTTTCATTTTCATCTGTGTTACTTTTTTTTATTCACTAGAAGAATAGTTTTCTTGTTTCGAGCCTTTCCTAGATCAGTTATCTTTTAGAATACTAAAAGCAGTAGGTTAATGATGTACATGGTTTTGTGAGACAGGGGCTTCATGTGTTCTGAATTGAATTGAATTGAATTTTATTGGTCACACTTTTTACAAAAAATTTGCATACACTGCGTGGACCCATAGCCATAGGTTAGTTTGGGTCCAAAAAAGAAAGATTTTATAAAGGCACTGCGGAAAAGTGTAACTAAGAAAGTTGTACAACATCAAAAGGAATTAACTAAAGTTTTTACAATCTAATGTAATAAAGAATCGGCAAATAAACATTACAGTGCATGAAATAACCACACTAAACCGTTACAATATACGAGAGAACGAAAATGGAATAAACACTTACATATTGAAATCAAGACAGTCATCAGGCTAATTATGACAGGACGTTAATAAATCAGTACATTCTTCTAAATAGTGTTTTTCTAGTGCCTTAGGGAAATTGGAACACATTTTTATTTCAAAAAGGAAATTTTAATACCGACAAACTGTAAAAGCCGTTCACCATATACGTTGTTAGTTTGTGGAATATTCCATTTACCAAAGGTTAGATAGTTGTCTAGTAGAACGAGAAGGGGCGGAAAACATCGACACATGAAAAGGGTGGTTGTAATTAATAACTGTGTGTACGCATCTGGCTAGTTTTAATTTCTATAGCTTGTCGAAGGGCAAAATAAGTAATCTGGAAAATAAAGGTTTGCTGGGGTCGTTATACTTGGAATGAGTAATGATTCTTACAGCCCGTTTTTGAAGTCGTCTAACCAGGTCCAGGTAAGTTGTGTACGTGCCGCCCCAAGACTCAATGCAATATGAGATATGACAATGAATGAAAGCATAATAAAGCATTCATAGAGTAGTGGTATTAAAATATTGACAAGCCTGAGTAAGTGCATGACACCCTGAGGCTAATTTGGAACACACATTTCGAATCTGCATCTGCCAGTGTAAGTTATCTATAGTGACACCCAGATATTTAATTGTGGTTACTTGCTCGATCACGGAATCGTCAATTTTTATGTGTATGTTATTAGCATTAATGAATCTTAACCGAGAGCGAAATGTGGTGCATTTAGTCTTAGCGGTATTTATAGATAGTTTATTATTCGATAACCAATGAGCGACCTTTTCCAGTTCTATATGGGACTTTGATTCAAGATCAGTTAGATTTTTACCTGTTACTATGACACAAGTATCGTCAGCATACATAAGTATGTTAGAGGACTGTAATATCTGCAGAAGTTCATTAATATACAAGAAGAAGAGCAATGGTCCCAGCACCGAGCCCTGGGGAACACCAGTACTCAAGTGGCTTATAGAAGACAGGAAATCATTAATTACTACAGCCTGTTGACGATCATTCAGGTAATCTGAAAGAAGTTGAAATATGGTCCCACGGAAACCATAATGTGGTAATTTACTTAGCAGTATTCTGTGGTCTACGGTGTTAAAGGCTTTTTTGAGGTCCAGAAAGATAACTGTTACTAATTTATTTTCATTCAATGTAGTGTTTATTGCTTGAGTAAGGGTCATAACGGCGGTGGAGGTAGAATAACTTGGTCTAAATCCGTGTTGCTGATGGGAGAGCAAGTTATATTTCTCAATGAATTTATATAAATGATTGGCAAAAATATTTTCGAAGATATTGTTAATTATGCTCAAAACTGAGATTGATCGGTAGTCTGACGGTTGAGAGTGATCGCCACTTTGATGTATCGGAATAACTTTTGCAATTTTTAAACAAGAAGGGTACATGGCTGCTCT